GACGACAACGCCGGACAAAAATGTTCTCTTAATATACATTTCCCTTCCATCTTTGATGGTACGGGCAAGGTAAAAATGAGAATGTACAGATAAGAAAATGTGAACGGAAAATGCACCGGTCACACTCGACTCCGGCCCACCACCCATTATTTCAAATGTTTGAATGCTAAGGTCATATACATTTTACTTCTAACAATATAATAATTAAACACACTGATGGGTTAATTAAAAACTAGAAATATTTATCCTATGCCTGTGCATGTAGCAAAAACATGGCTACCCTCGGAATCCTCCGAGTCTTTCCAGATGTCACTCAGCCTGAAAGACTAATTCTGCAGGAAACGATGAGAGCGCTAGATCTATTGGTAAGCTCAAATATTATTCCCTTGACACATTTTGCACGAAGACAAGATAACCTTTACTTTTATGTTGATGCTCTGTATACCTACATCATGAAAATCTTAAATTTTATAATTAATGTATCAAAATTATAAAGAAACAATTGGTTTCAATGAAATTAATTCTACTGAAATGTGCATGGAGCTAGCGGTCACGGTTAGACAATATTTAGAATCAAGTAAATCACTTTTTTTACAGGAAAACAGTCAGTCAGTGGTTTGAAGTATGTATTAATTGGATTTTATTATTGAAACCGGTAGCAAGTACCTGATATGCATAACCTTACACCAGCAATGAGACAATGGTTATGTCGGTGGGTGTCAGGCAATAACGATATGTATATTGCCAATTACGATAGAAAAAAAACACGAAAAAGTTACAGTTAAAAAAATACTGAGATAAATACTTAAATATTTACACCCATGGACGAAAGTGTACTTTTTATTCTCCAACAAAATTCCTCAATCCGATCTAATAAGCATGAATGAATAAAAGCATGCCCAATTTATATTGAGTATGTTACCAATTACGAAAAAAACAGGAAAAGTTACAGTTAAAAAATACTGTGATATAAAACGTGACAATTTGCTATAAACAATAAACACTCGTTATATAAATATATTTATGTTTTATATAAATATAGTATAATAATTAGGTTATATAGAATAACCATAGACCCTCTAACAGATGGTCTATGGTATAACCCATGATCAATATCATTGAAAAAAGGTCTCATTGACGCTTTCCGAGAAACAGATATCATATTAATCCATACGTTCATTAATCAACCCCACAAAACAAACAAACAAACGTTTTCTAGAGAATTTTTCTTTCATAAACCTTTCATATGCCATATGGCCTGGTATATATTAGACGATACGTCGGATATGTATGACTTGAGCAACAGGCAGACAATTGTCAATTACTGTTGCTTTAACTCGTGATTTCCTTGGGTTGAGATGTTACTCAATATTCAATCTCAACTGGAACTGGAAATGTACCTTCAATGTAAATTCAACACGAATTGACATCAGAAAGATTTGACGGGAATAAAATTTCACACAAAATGTGCGAATAAGCAAATATTATACAATATCATTATTCATCAGAGAAATATTGTTCTGATTTGCGGTAGCTTTACTGTACATAATAAAACAAAATTACAACTAACAAGCAGCCTGTCGACTGAGATAGCCCCGCTGTTAGCAATGTACATTTCAATTAAAGAACTGAGAATATTATTAGAAAATGAACAATATGTATAGCATTAAAGCAATCAGACTTGCTGTTTTCAACAAGAGTTCGAAAATATCACTTTTTACCAAAAATGACAGAAATATTCAATAAAATTTAAAAAATTGAAGATATAATCATGAAATGAACATATCTAAAAAAGGTCTGCACACCAAGTATGAAAGCATTAAGACTTGTAGTTTTCAAAAGGAAGTCAAAAAGTAAAAAGTTGACACGGACGACGACGGAGTGTAATCACTCACATGTAAGTCGACAGCGGAGCTAAAAAGTCATGAAGTACAACAAAAGTACAAAATAAGTTTTCTAGTACCGGGTTTAGACATCCAGTAACTTCATTTGTTGTACTATAACGAAGACAAATACTCTGAAACTAAGACCTCGTCGTCAAAGTTCTTTATCTTGTTACATTTTGGTATGTCGCCTCGGGCTTTTTCTGTTGCTTTCTCCACGACTGGTAGCAAAAATGCAGCTATAGCTCCAATGAAATACGCTGCACTGGCCAACCAAAAAGCTCCTTCATATGTTCCGTATTGGTCGCGCATCCATCCTGTTGGTAACAAGTTAGTGCAGTGAGTAGTTTTTTTTCTGTTTTGTTCGAGGTGTTAAATTTACAACAATATTGCAAGTTACATTTACATTTACTGTAATTCGTGCATTAATATTGATATACGATGGTAATCGAAATAATTCGATAAATGCTTTAGATGACGACTCCAGTGGGATTAGTCAACAACCAATCAGAGTATGATATTAAACTGATCTTATTTGTATTAGTGAGGCGCTTTAAGGTTGTTATCAAATCCCGTCATATGTGGGCAACTAAGAAAAAGAAACATAGAATGAATCCTGTACCTAAATAAAATTCAGATTATTTATGCAATGTTTACCTGCAGTAGGCGATGCAGCCAATCCTGCTAGCCCATGGAACTGGTAGGCAAATGATATACCATGGGCAACCTTTTTACGCCCAAGAAAACGAGAAACAACGACAGGAATGAGGACGATATAACCGCCTAAACTCATACCAGTCAAAACAATAAAAATATTCTGACCTGAAAATAAGAGCATAAATAGTTTAGTGGGAAATGACGAGTCCTGATTCAATCACGTGCGCCCATTTCAAAATCTCCACATGCGCACACAACATTTAAAGCGGGGGAGTCGTCACCTGCGCATGCGTCAGATGACGATAACGTGTCATTGTTTACAAACAAGCGTCTACCCATGAGCCTTTGCGTTTGTTAGTGTGTGTTGTTATTGTCGCCTCGAACTCAATTCCCGCGCGTGCGCAGGTGACGACCCTTCCGTTTTAAGCATGTCACTATATTGATGATGTCGCTCGTCATGCAGTCACTAACTGACACATACTTCAAAACACATGTGCGCGCGTAGAAGTAAAACACATACAAATATGGTATTGTGAAGACACTGACCTGCAAAACTTGGCAAGTACGAGCTCAACGCTGTAGCACCACCACATACTGCCATAGCAAATGCATATAAACCATATGAGGGGACATAATGCAGGTTGCCTGCAGCACCATATATGGGTCTTCCAACGAGCTGAGCCAATCCCATGATAGCAGGAATCAGAGCACCTTGAACATCAGGAATACCAAAATCACGTGCTCGTCTCATCTGTTACGAATATATAAAAACATAAGCCTGTGTTACGATTATATTAAAAAAACGTAAGACATTTTAACATTTCCCAGAAAATAACGAGTATATTCTGCGGATTGGGTAATTCTGCAAGAAAATATTGCATCAAGTTGTTTCAATGAACATATAATTTAACCACATCGCCCAATAATCGAAAACGGCGGTCATGAAGGTAAAACTATGAAATTTAAAGGATCATAGACCTTAGAAAATAAATATATCACTTTTGATTGAACAGCAATTGTGTTGGTTCAATCATACGCACATGGTCTTCTATTATCCGTGTCTATTCATAATTTCTATAGAAGGATGCAGACATCACTTAAGTATTGTTGCCAAAGTGTACATAAGAGGTCTGATGCCGTTCGGCCGGCGAGGGCGCTACTCACGCCTACATGTCAGGCTAAATATTGACGTAACCATTTGAATCTGTAGTTTGAAATATGCACAAAAATGTGCTCTTTTGGTCAAAAGTGATTTAAAAAAATAGCTCCTAAACCATGCTTCTGTTTCCTGTCAAAATTGGTTTATGGGTACATCTGTTTACTATGAAAAAAGTACCGTCTTGAAAACTGTCTACCTGTTGTCAATTTTCCAGGGCAGCAGCCCAAATTTCACTACTAAGTTTATGCATAAATTAACACCCAGGCTAGTTGTCTGTACGATTGTTGTAACACTGTTCAACCAAAAACAATGCTCCGACAGCATTTTGAAGATGAACACATTGTCAATCATTTGTAAAAATTTCAAAACAAAAGGTCAAAGCGTCTAGGAGCTTTTTAATTTCTGGGATGTGCACTAAAAAGAAGCTGAGATAATTGCTAATTTGCATAACAATTCACTCAGTAAAAAGTTTGCTAATGCTCATAATTAAAATGGCTGTAACAGTTCCAAATTTAAATGTATTATCGTTTTGTGAAAAGTTAAATATAGTGCATAATATGGAGATCCCGTCATTTCTTTTTTTCACCATGTTTCTTTTTTATTATTTATGTACAGCGTTGCTAAATCTTGCTAAGCATTCAAAGGAGAGAATGTTTGCACCTGTTATCTATATTTATAAACTTTTTTTGAGTATGTTCTATTATTCACAATTCTACAAAATTTTAACAGTCTATAGCCAAGACTGTTTAAAAAATAAAAAGCAAATAAAAAAATTCACTCAAAAGTGCCCACGAACCTGCATCTCTACCTTAATAGACCATTTCCTGTTCCTTGAGAGATACCGCGTTATGCGTGACATCGAAAGTAATAAAAACAAGCTTAGAAAACAACTCCAGTGTGCTGAGAGTATTGGAGACAAATTGAAATTAACTCAAAATTTAAGATTTGCTTTTCAAACAAGAAGCTTGGCAACTAATTTTTGTCCGCTATTTGAGATGCATAACATGAACCAAATGTTATTCACATTATCAAAATTTATAATACACATAGAAAATACATGCTGGTCTGTGCATTGTCCTAGAACATATATGTACCAAGATTCATTGAAATTGGATATTTACTATTTACTACACTGTAAAAGCCAAAAAATAACTAATTATGCAAATTAGTTGATTAATATGAACACATTTTTACTTAAAATTAATCAGGTCTTTGGATTGAAATATCAAAAGCTGAAAATTGATTAATTATACAAGTTAGGTAATAAATATTTCACATTTCTGTCTGTGCATCGTCCGATGTATCTATGTAAATTCTTTGAAATGTGATGATTAGTACATGAGATATCAGTGGAAAAGCCGAAAATTGACTAATCATTATGCAAATTAGGTTAATTATATACATGGATTTTTACCCAAAACTAATAACATCTGTGCATAGGTCCAGAGCATCTATGTACCACGTTTCATCAAAATCTATTGAATGGTTCTTTAAATATAAGTGGAACAGTTAAGGAACAGCTAAACATTAGCTAATTATTATGCAAATCAGCTAATTAATATGCACGGATTTCAGCCAAAACCTAATAAAATCTGTGCATTAGTCCAGAGCATCTATGCACCAAGTTTCATTAAAAACATACGATTCTTGAGATATCATTGGAACGGATAGACTCGCACATACTGACAGGATAACTCCAAAGACTCCCATTGTGTTCTTCGCACACTGGAGTCAAATCCAGGACAAACAAAGGTCACAGGATGAAGGTAAATTTTAACAAAATATCTCAACGCCACATTCCTCTCTGAAAGATCGGCAATTCGACATTGAAATTCATGTTCAAAATCATTCGATTTTCAGGGCAGACGTTTGGTCTGCCCTTTTCACGCAATACACGAGATCTCGCATTGCACGGAAATGTACCTATTGAAGGCTGTTTGACGATTGTGATTTTAATTTTAATTTTCGTTATCAGAGAACAAACTTTATCAGCAATTAAAATTAAGTAATAAAACAAATAAATGAACAATAATTTCAGATTCCTACTTACTACATGTGCCGTGACGATTGTATGTCCAATACTTTGTCCAATAGCAGTTAGCATAATCAAATAATATACTGGTTCTTTAAACAGTGTTAAATCGTATATGGATAAGAAGGCTCTAAAACAATTAGTTTTCTCTTTAATTTTAAGTTTTGTCTTTAATTTTGTGTTTGTTCCATTGTTTGCCACAGCGCTAGAAGGGGCTACATCGTCCACGTTAGTTTCCTCATATCCCACGTGGTGAGTATCTCGTGCGTTGACATTTGCGGGGAAAGTCCGATAACATCTCACAGATAATGGTCTGAACAGGGCCCCGGCAACACACACATTGAGCATGATCCCAGAAAGTAGCATCAATAACCCTCTCCAGCCATACGTATCTACTAACATCTGACTTGTAACGGCTAGACAGAACTGACCTGCACCAGTGCCAGCCATGGCAATTCCAAGTGCGAGTGAAAACCGTTTACTAAAATAAATACTTATCATTTCTATAGAAGGTATAAGAGCCAAACCGCTGCCGACACCTGTCAAATAAAAACAAAGTAATTTCTCAAAAGTGTATCTAGCGTAGCCGCCCGGAACATATGGTGGAATAATTGTACATATACGCAAAGGAGTGCATTGTTTTAAAAAGTGAAGTAGGCTGCCATTATACTGTTACATATTGAGTATTCTTAAAGGTGAAGGTGGTTTGAGGTTGGAACATTCATTGTTGTTTTACCTAAGATTGTAAGGACTCATTTTATTACGGATTACAATTGTCCGATCACTGGAAAATATTATACAATGTCGTACCTGCGATTACACCAAATGTTAGATACACCTGGGGTAACGCTGTTGTAAAAGATGTACACATGAGTCCGGTAGCAGCAATACAGCCTCCAAGCATAACTGTCTTCCGATGCCCATAGTTCTTTGCAAGACAAACTGAATATGGGCCTGTACTGACCAATACAAGAGCAAATAGCGATCCGACCCAAGCTGTAAGTATAACATACAATAGTCTGAAGTAAGAATTATATTAACTTGTCAAGTGAGCGAGTACTATGATTTATTAGTATACATGTGTCACCATAACGCCATAAGTTACAGCTTGTGGTATTGCACTGACAATACGCGGTCGCATCGACCTCCGCTGTGCGTTGTTCGATACTGCCGCTGTACTGTCTTCGTGCATACTTTGCAGTATCCTTGTAATCATATTATGTTACAATAATTTCCCCACGATAACGAGTAGTTCATTGCCATTCATATTTAAGATATCAACAAATAAATATTTATTTGTAGTTTCGACATTCTCTACAAGTTATTATTATATACATCATCTGAAAGCTTAGAAATAGGTGAATATGATTTTTGACTTAATCCGTCAATTAAAATGTGGTTTTTTTCACACTTTTTCTCAGGCTTAACATGTGAATTGCATAGGACGTTAGTAATGCTGTGACCAAATAACAACATATATGCTAATGACAAAGAATTGTAAGGAACGTCTCGTCATATCTCACAAAAACGTTCAAGTACCGAGATCTTGCAAAGGTTATGCACGAAATGCTGTCAGAGGATCATATTATATTGGATTAACAAGTACTGTACCTGTGGCAGCCTTTGTCTCGCCGAATGCATCAAGGAAGGCCACGTATAAAACACCAAATGCGTAAAATGTTCCAGCTGTCAAATAGCATGTAATAAACATCCCAATAACAACAAACCATCCATAACCACCGTCCGGGGGTTTCGGTAATGTACTGGAAGACATGTTTCAAGGATAAGTGGCAATCCAGTGCCAACATAAACACGTGTAGTCACTTGTAATGTAGTGCATATTACTTGGTATTCTATGTGCGCTTGGTCACCATCAGCGCTTGCTGTAAGTACGATTGCTTGGAAATGCAAGTTGAAGGCCACATGTCTCAGTCAGTTAACATCTTACTGCAATTAAAAATAGTCTCTTATGAAATACATAGCATATGTCAGTCAAACAGGTCAAATATTGTGCTGTTGCATTGCACCCAGCATGAGCAGCATTTCACTCACGTTCAGGTCCAGTTGCACTCGGATAAAATGAATTGGCATACCCGTTACGCTATCTGAACATTCAGTTAGGAGGCATTCAATAAAAACGCTTACTGTATAGCGTATACATTGGGATAAAAGAGCCCCCCGTGGAATCCACTAGTGTATTTAAACAAGCGACCTTGCGGTCGAAAGAGCCCCGCTGTAATTGCTAACTTTCACAAAAATAGAGATATCTCACCAAATGAACACATTTGTAGAGGACCAGTCCATGTGTCTACATTATGAATCTCAAAGCAAACAAAAATATGCAAAACATAGCAAAAACTGTTTATTTAGTTGTTCGAGTCCGAGCAAACATATAAACATTGACATGATCTTGATCTTGAAAAACATTGGCCCAGGTAGTTCAGTACCCAACAATACACTTATCTATTACAGACTATGTATTATACATAGCCCATATATAACGTATCGGAAAATGGGAAAAATTCAAAAATATAATATTTAACAAAAAAATGTATGACTTTCACAAAAAAGAGATATCTTCAACAAATGAAGACATTTTGAAAGATGATTTGTTCATGTGTCTACATTATTAATCTCAAAGCAATCTGGCAGGTTCTTTTGAAGGAAAAGTCAAGACGAAAAATATGCAAAAATGAGCAAAAAATCCGAAAAAAAAAAAAAAAAAGACACTTGCATATGGTCTCATTAGTCTCAATTAGTAAGTCAGAGTCTAGTCCATGCCAAGAATATTCAAACCAAATGTCAATGCAATATGACAAGCAAAGATGAGAAAAATATTCCCTAAAAATAGAGATTTGGATGTGATGTAATGGAATGAACAAATCTGACAGAGGACCACCCAGGTAGCTGTGTTATAAATAGCAGGGTGATCTGTGTCCAGGACTGGAAAAGCCGGGACTTCTTTTTTGTTTTACATAAAAAATATATAATTAATTGTGAATTTAGTCCTTTTAAATGTGATCGCGAAAACCAGCTTGACTTCTTTCACGGTCACATTAGTTTTCGCGATCAAACTAAAAAGGACTTAAAAACAATTAATTATTTCATTTTGCAAACAAAAAATAAGTCCCGACTTTGCCAGTCTACCTGTGTCGATACAAATTCAATATCCAAATATAGTAACTTTTAAGGACAAAAAATACAATAAATTACTAAAATACCATTACAAAGACTAAAAGACCGACACAAGAATAGCTATGTACCCACAGCTAGTAACGCATGTGTCCAGCATATACATCACCGCGAATATATATAATGGACGAAGTCAATCGCGCTTCTAATCCAAGAGACCCTAAAAACATGAACACACCACTGTCAGGATATTGAAACCCTGTTAAAGCGGGAGAGTTGTCACCTGCGTGTGCGTCAGATGACCATAGCGTTTCATTGTTTACAAACAAGCGTCTACCCATGAGCCTTTGCGTTTTTAGCGTGTGTTGTTATCGTCGCTTGGGACTCAATTCCCGCGCGTGCGCAGGTGATGACCCTCCCGATATAAGTTTACTAGACGCGATTTACAGTCTCTGTCATGTTTGTTATGCTGTCCTCAGCGGCATTTGTTATCATATTGTGAGATAGCACCTTGGATAACCTCCATGATTATGCCCATAGAATATTGTCTCCGCCTTTTATGACATCCTATAACAATTAAAGCGCGGTGGTCGTCGCACAGCGCGTGTTCAAATTTCACGTAAATAAACAATGTATTTTACACGCGTTGTATACGTCGCTATGAGTCCCATATCGAACAGGACGCGGAACGACGACTACCGCCCTTTAAGCATGGAAGGTACTAACCTACATAACTAGATTTTACTGTCATCATGTTGGTGGGGAGCGAGGATCAGACGCTCGGATGCATTTCAGCTCACGACACATATACACTCGTACTATAAATAGAATCCCTTACTATTGTCACTTGTATTTACATGTATTGAGAATCCTTTCACGTATGATCATACCATGCACAAATAACAAGGAACCTATCTTGGCAATATGTTGCAATGATTCGTAACACTACCAAGATATGCATTTAAAGTTAATATTAAACAAACACAACTTGAATGGAATATGTTTTATTTTATGGTCGGGATCCACTCATTTATCGTTCATTAGAAGCTTAGTGTATGGAACTCTTGGTTCTTGTTCTTGTTTTGTTTTTAACGCAACAAACCAACCAACCATTCAGTCGAACCTGTTGCAATGCGATGTATAATTGACACTGAGAAAACAGCGCATGTACGATCGTGTTTCAAGCAGAATTTTAAAATAAACGTAATAGCATTTACTGGTTATCATGTCAGTGCTAAAAAGGAGCATTCAATTAACATTTGACTCCAAAACACGGCTGGAAATTATGGAAATATATGAGATCAAGTTTTGTTTTATACATTTACCCCTGTAGTTTTATTTTTTTTAAATAAATGTTAAAGTAATTTCCATAAAACAATTCATGCACGGTATGTTACTTTTTATATAGATAGCAAAATCGTGCCTAATATATTTCTAGTACTTTTTAGCCGAATGACGGAAAAAGATCGTAGGTATGGTATTGAGTATTTATAAACAAAACAACGTAGACGTCAAATAAAACTGCACACATGGTAGCAAATATACATTTAATTGTGGGTCTCTTCTTGTGTCGGTCGTTAGTTTGTATGAGCTAGTATTTAAGCTAGTCATTACAGATACATTCTGTTTTTTTTTTAGATATTAGGATTTTATCAACACATAAAGTTCCTCCATTACTTCCGTAACAACGCGGGGGGGGGGGGGTACTATACTGGCGCATGCGTAGTCAGATGGGTACCCAACCTAAAACATTCCTCGTACCTCGTACAAGTCTAATACGAAAACCACTGTATAAATAGGACAATTAAAATAGGATATTTTCAAAAATCAAATAAAAAAACAAAGAACACTTTGTCATTTGCTCTATTTACTGTCGTATACATGTATATTAAATGTTTTTGTTAACTCATGGTACACCGTGTAGTACTGCTTCATTAAAGCGGTAGGGTCGTCACCTGCGCACGCGCGGGAAATGAGTCCCAAGCGACGATAACAACACACGCTAACAACGCAAAGGCTCATGGGTAGATGCTTGTTTGTAAATAATGACACGCTATGGCCATCTGACGCAGGCGCAGGTGACGACTCCCCCGCTTTAATATTCATGATTCAATGTCAAAAATAACTACAACAATCTCAACCAGATAAGGATAAAGATTAGCTCCTATGTTTATTAACTACAAACACCATCAACATCAGACAAAAATGCAAAAAGGGCAATTTTCGATCCTGAGCAACTTCGGTTTGCTAAAACCCAAATAGCGATGTTAACGTCAAATTTGTTTTTCTGGTTATCGAGAATATTAGCTTCCAAGTGGTTTTTGATTTTGTAAGATCACCGACATTTGGCCTATATGATTGTTGAGTTTATCATTACGCAGATCTTGTGTATAGGGTGATATACTAGTACCTGCCACATTTCAGTAAATTTTATGAGAACACTGACTACAGACTCACATACGTGTACTAATACAGTACATAGATGATTGTTTTAAAATCAGAGAGAACAACCTGAAAAAAGTACTACCAGCTGCCTCAAAATGAATAAAAACATTTACTTTCATTTATTATATTTTATTAATACCTTTGTTTTATACTCTTTTAATCTCATTTATTTATTTTTTTCATTGCTATACCTTTATTGTATTCTTCAATCAAAGTCCAATAGAGGATACGATAACAATAAAGATAATTATTATTATTACATGTATTTTGTAATAAACGTTCCCAGTTCTAAACTCCTTTACAGCATATCCCATTTAAAAACAGAAGCATTGTCCCCTTTCCATTACGAATGTTATGCAGAATTGATGACAGAACTCACTAAATGCCTTCGAAGATATTAAAATTCCCCCAAATTAATATCTATAAATTATTCAAGTCAAATAAAACCCTCGTACTGGGACTCTTCTGGTATAAAGTCGTTCCACGTTGGGCCTACGGACTCGACATTTAATCTCGCGATCGGGTCGAACTTATATCCAAGAGTCGACTTCAGACTAGGGTTTTATCTAATACTAATACAATCCGTATCTATGGTGGGTGTTATCATGGAGGTACCTCCGTGGTATTATGAATACTAGTAGTCTAAATTGTATATGCAAATTAACCCTAAAGCCCCCCCCCCCGCCCCCCGGCCAGGACACTATGAATCTTCCCAAAAGGCGGGCCACGTCACGATCCCCCAATCGTTGCCAGGACCAATCAAATACAAGCATAGACATTGCATTTTCGGATTAACATCTCTGTTACCCCCCATGCCAACGAAAAAAATTTTTGTCTTCCGGTGACTCCCAGTTCCATCTTTGAGAATTACTGTCGAAATTACATAACAACAATAATATACAATTTTTTCATCCCATGCCTCTGAACCATATTGTGTGATGTGAAGAACTAATTTCACCATAGAAACCAGTACAAAAATAGAAATTTTGACCATTTATTATTGATATCCTAATGGAATTAATTCGTTACAATAAAATCATTAACACGACATCATACTCTTCACAATTGTGTCAGATTACTTAGTACTTACTTAGTACCAGTATTTTATATCATTTCTATTCTAAGTGTGTATCGTGATTTTTTTACCGTACACGGATTGGCTCCTTGACAATAGCACGCAGTATGTCTGGTCTTTTGTTCTACCATAGACCCTCTAAAAGAGGGTCTATGGTTCTACATGATCCCAAGGAAGGTCATGACGATCCGAACACGACTGTGATGTTCAGACGTTGACACAAACAGAGACCCCCCCCCGACATTTATTTGACCTTGGAAGCTTTATTCGGTGCTTTTCAGCGTAGATTCGAGTTGAATGGTTGACACCGCTCTGGCTAGTTTACACCACAAAGCGTGCGCCATTTTGAAAATTAGCAAGTCGTTCTTCCGGATTTCGCAACCGAGTACCCAAGCTACGAGCTCAGCCAATCTTGACCATGGTCACGATAAATAAGAAGCCGAAGACGACGAAAAGAGCATGGTCTCGCGATGTCACAGGTCACGCCGACCTTAACTTAAGCAGGACTTAACGATCTATGCCAGTCCGTAACGGTGTAGGTCACACTATACACCAGTACAGCACAGTATTCCCCAACATCTGTACTTATGGCGATATTATTGTATGGTGACATGGACGATAAATTGAGCAGCTAAAATAAATTCTGAACAACAGTACTGACAGAAGGTAAAGTGAGTCTACCTACCTGACATCTATCGCTGTATCCAGTGTCGTGGCGGAGCTTTAGTGACTCACTGCTAACACGGCAATGCTACGGGTTCATGCTACTGACGAGTCTGGCTATTAAAATAAATTTGCATATGAAATGCTTTGGCTGAGCTATACTACAAATACAGATATGCACGTTTGGGAAATTCCTTGTGACGTAAGGTGTATATCACCGTTGTAATAATTTGTATCTATAGTACTGAATGCGGATCACCGGCTTCTTTTTCGAAAGACCATGCATATATAAAAGTAATTAGGATCTCTATGGGAGCTGGGATTACAATCACGACGAAATGCCGGTGGCAAATTATTCAAATTTTGCAATCAAACGCTGTTGTTTGGCAACACTATGGAGAAGAGAATGTCAATTCTCAAAGACGGGGATACGTCACGATCCCTCAAACTCGCCAGGACCAATCACAAACAAGAACCGACAATGGTTTCTTGGATCAACACCTCTGGTGTCGCCAATGGTAACGAAGCCATCGTTTGTCGTCACACACCGACAATTTTAAAAAAGTTCAAAACGAAATACTGTGTATAATATTTTTTTTGTATTTGATTTTTTACATGCACCTCAAATAAAAGGGCATCATCATTCAACTAACTCGTACCAGCCTCTGAAAATGTGCTCACTATCCAGCCCAAGCAGGCAAACACGAACATGCAGATTATCATTGGCTATAATGTTAGTAAGACTTTCATATTTTAGGGGATATTTCGGATTTCGGGAGTTAACAACAATGTCAATGTCAATATCTTTTTTTTATTTTCTCTGAAAAAAAATAATCTTTTTCAATTATATAGTTCTTTTAGCTGCCTCTTTTGTACCCACCCATACTTACTCCGATGCCGTTTAAAAACTGTTTTAAATACTGTAGGCCTTCTTCCGGAGTTGCATGTGTATTAACCTGCCAGGATACGCATGCGCGAATAGAATCACATCGCGTCTGTCAATGACTCGGGAATCGGGAATTCAGAAAACAGCTGTGGAATTTTGTGTTTTAGTAGTCGTTGTTTCTGATTTCTGCCTTTCTATGCGCCACTTCTTCCCGAACTTGTCGGCCGGTTGCTCTTTGTATGTAACTGAGCAACGTCAGGTGTCGTAGCGATCCGCACCGCAGACTCTAGCTGTGTATCTGACAGGCAGGTCTGTCAAAGCGGGGTGCCGTCGAATCTAAATATAAATCATCCTTACACCATGGCGCAGGGTATCCAAGCTCAAGGCAGCAAGGCTTGCACAGTTACTTGTTAGACATAATACCTCATAAAACTCGGGCATCATATACCGAACCGTGTACCGCGGTGTACAGACGGAACAGGCGCAATTCGCTAGTCAATTGCCCCGTCGCCCTCCCTCATAATATTACTGATTACCCCTATACGAGGCCACTGTAAAACCCTTTCATCATCCCCAAAAATACATATGAACAATGGAAACAACGAAGCAGACGAAACGTCGCAAACACTAGTAAGCTATAACTGAAAAAAAAAACGGCGAGCTTCTTTTGCAAAAAAACATCTTTCATCATCGTTCTAGTTTACAAAAGTAGTTGCGGTATCAGCCAGGACATATGGTAATTTTACCATAATTTTACCATCTTCCTGCATATACGCATTATGATACATTTCGCCCATATATTTTTTTAAATTTATTTTATTATTTATACATCATAAAGACAATGACGTAATATATTATAATAATACATATTACAGCTATACTGTCATGTGTTCTTAAGGATGTAGTAGACTTTCGTTGGGCAAAACAGAAAAAGCTTGATAAAAATAATAATAATGATTAATGACTAACAATTTTTACATGTTACATTGTAGTCCTTGCAAAATTATGATAACACTAATGTCAACATTAATTACGTCACGTGACTGCGAAATAAACAAAATCGATTGTTCTGCTATTTTTACTGCTACTAGAAAACGAAAACAGTTAGCCAATATATTTTTATGAGAAAAGGAAGACTACAATGTTCTAATAACAATAATGTAAAAGAGATAGTTTCTGAATTGTTTGGTTCTTTTACAAAGTGGTGGAGAAGAATTCTATAATAAATTAGAGTGCTCTCTTTTCACAGGTCAATTAGTAATGAAATATTACTGATACTTGAAAAATATTTTACATTTTGTTGTCAATTGATCTTGAGTTCAATCTCTAAAAAAAATCAATGGAATCGGACAAGAACTGTTCGCGTAATCGTGATTTTTGTGGTTTTAGACAAGTTACGTTTCAAATGGCTGAAAAGACTCAAAAACCAAAAGTAGCACAGTCGAGAGGATATTTTCTGTTCGGCGCATCGTATTCAGTTATTTTTTGATGTTTAATATAGTTATTATGTTGGTTTTTATAGAAATCAGAAGAACACGTTTGGTACATGGCCGATAAAGTTATGAAAAAATCGATAATTTGAAAAAAAGCAACGTGAAAACGAAGTATGGCCGCCCTTGAACAAACAGTGTAATCCCGTTATCAATTTAAGTTTATTTGCTTGACAAGCTTAATTTCGAGTGTAAGTTATACCATATCACAACAAACTTGGCAATTGTTTATGTACAAACGTGATATGTGACCGTTAAACTTGAACACTGTTAGTAGTTTAGCATGGACTATAG